TATATATATATATATATATATATATAAACACATTAGACTGCACGCTAACGATGAAAAAAAACTAGGTATAATCACATTTTGAATATGTTATGTTTTGTCTTTTAGGGAATCAGAAGTTGTCTACGATGATAGCAAGGATCCTATATTTCAGAAAAGGAAAGTAGCGTCGTTAGTAGCACATGAACTCGCACATCAGTGGTTCGGCAATTTCATCACCCCATCTTGGTGGCCTGACTTGTGGTTAAGCAAGGGGTTTGCTGTGTTCTTCCAAGTGTATTTCCTCAACAAGGTTATTTAATATTACTAATGCAATGAATTGCTCATTAAATAGAAAAGTTGGAAATACACTTCATTCTCTAAGATCAAAATAACATTCATGAAATATTTTTATATTTTTATAAAATGTATCAAGACAGAGCTAAATAACAAATGGCAATTCTTTAATTTAGAATTAGAATTATAGAATTATAAAAAAGATTGTAACACTGTTCTTCCCGCGAATAACTAAAACAAAATTTAACATCTAAAATTTTTATATCTTGATTTATTTTTGTATTCAGTAATGTACATTATCTTAAAAAATAATTAAAGTATGATCTTCGTAAAAGAAATTATACGTTAAACGGTTAACATTTGACATAAATAAATTACAATAAAAGTTAAAATAGCGAATTTTTTAAAAGTGGCGGACAGGTAGGTTTGTACTCTTGTAAATGCAAATTTTTCTTTAAATTTTTATATTCAGCTATATTAAAAGATTATTTTCGGTTATAGACATTTGAAGACTGGCGGTCAATGGACTTTTTCGTTACTGGGGCTATACACGATACTCTCCATTTAGATATTGGTTTATTGGATTCTGTTAACTTGAACCTTCATGATACCTTGGATTATGACCAACTCTTTGGTGATGAAGTTTATAAAAAAGGTAAAATTATGTAAATAAAGTAAAACTATCGTCCATGAATAGTTTAATGTAGATAGCACAAAGACAGAGGTGGAACAGAAAGTGAATATACAACAAATTCTCGTTTTGCGCAATACGTTCACATATGTACCTTAATATTATGTATAAAATATACTTTATATGTATTATTAATCAGTATTTTATGCTGTGTATTGTAGCTCCAGCTATATTGCGCATGTTATATCATGCAGTAGGCGACGAGGTATTTCGAAAGGGTATCATCAAGTATTTCGCTACAAAGTAAGTATGTACATATGTTTAATGTAGTCTATTATAGTTATCACATATAGCAACATTAAATATCATATAAGTATAATGTTTCTTACATTTACGTTGGAAAATATAGTACGCCATATCAGAAATATAAACTTATGCATTCAATATCCAATGCTATTTGATTAGAAGAGACCCATACTTTGTTCCTTAATTATAATTTGACTAAGCTAGTTTTAAGTTATATTTTTAGTTTCCACATGTGTAATTAAATTGTACATTAATACTCACGTTTGATTATGTAATAGTAAATTTAAATACATACGACGTATGTGTTATAGCTAATAACAATGTCATTTTTCTTTAGGCAATATACGGCGTTCACTCCCGATAATTTGTGGAGCGCCATACAAAGTGCTAAAGACGAAGCTTCTTACGTCCCTTATATGCGAGATCAAAAATTCAGAATAAAAGAAGTGATGGATACGTGGATAGTCCAAAATCGTTATCCTGTGCTGAATGTAACGAAACGATGAATTACGAAACTGCTCAAGTGACAATAACACAAAAATGTTTTCACGAACTTATGCCTGCCAATAATAAATGGTGGATACCCATATCCTACACTTACCAGGACTTTCCACATTTTTTCAATACTATGCCCAATAATTGGTTAAAACCAGATGAAACTCTTAGAGTGCAAATTATTACAAGAGGTTGGATTATCGTCAATCTACAACAAACTGGTATAAATCAATAAATTTTGCGCTCTTTTGTATTTATCTTATTTGCTTTATCAACACAAAAGTTTTACATTATATTCAAAAAAAAGCTTCAAGATTTATATAATTATAATATTCCTCGATACATTGGTGAATTACATTGGTAATGTACATTTTTTTGTAACAATTGTAAGTTGTAAATTACATAAAATTGGTTTGTTACAATAATAAAAATGTCAGTATTTGAAAATATACCTTGATAATTTCAAACAAGAAGATCTAATAATAAATTTAATTCGACAGCATACTGTCGTGTCTATTACGATACCGCAATTATGGAAAGAATCATACGTTACTTGAACTCTGAAGAATACAAGAACATACACGTCCTCAATCGTGCTCAAATTATCGATGATGCATATGCTTTTTTGCTCGAAGATCAACTAGATAGCTCCGTATTCATGAATCTTATAAACTACCTAAGACGAGAGAGAGATTATGTGGCATGGCGTCCAATGTTCCGAATATTAGGACGGAATAAGAAGTACTTTTCACTGCCAGAGAGTAAAGGTTTCAAGGTATGTAATAACAGATTTTATAAAGATAAAAAAGATGTTTGTGTGTGTGTAGAGTTATATTTGGCTCTTTAATTTGTCCAATCATTTACACATTTTCCGTTTTATAGAATAATTATCGCTTCGCAAATATTATATTAGTACAAAATTACTTTTTCAAAAAAGGTAAAAAAAGGCACCAAGCACACGCAATGTATTTTGTAAATTCAAAAATTCTACATATCACTTAGGTTGAGCTAAATAACGTAATTTTGTGATATAATTTTGTTAAAAAGAAATAAAGCTACCGCACTTAAGTTGGATTTTCTATTTAATATATGCACCTACGGATTAAAGAGCACGACGATCATGTCGTGAGTCTGTTATATTTGTACAAATTAACGTATTGACTGTTGGAATATGGTGAATTTTACGTAAATTTGTAGTTACCTGTTTAGTACGTGAAAGCGAGTAGCATAATACCTCTATATATTAGGCATACCTAAAAATAAATTCTGTCGCGATCGGTTTTATAATCGCATAATGGTAGGAATAAACATGTTAATTAACATTAATACAAATGAGCATAAGGAGAAGTGGGGAGCAAGCTCGCCGACAATTTTTATGATAGTGAATGTTTTAACAAAGCATTATATATAACAAATATGTATATTTGTACATGAATCACGTCACTTCGCATGTGGCAACAAACTAATATAAAATTCAATATTATCTCATGATTTCTAGTCACACATGGTAGGAATCTTTGATAAGCTTCTTGAGCATGTGGGATACGAAGAACATATATCCTGATGATGACGATATCACAAAGATGCTAAGACTAGATGTCACGAAATGGGCATTTACCGTCGGTCACACGGAATGCAAGAGAAGGGCCGCCGTTAAATTGAGCGAACATCTCGCGGATCCTAATACACACAAGTAACACTTTTTATGACCTCGATTATCTCATAATTTATGTTTTTGTGCCTGTGTGTTGCGTATGCGCGCGCACGTATGCATATGAATGTAATTGATTCCTTTTATTTCTTCAAATCGTCGAAATCAGACATTCTCTTTATTGTTTTTTCTTAATTTCCATTCTTGTTCTAATGCATAGAATAAATATGCAAAACAAGTAAAAATATATGTATATAATAACAAGAGCCCGCGAAAAACGATCTAATATGAATCTAACTAAAATCATATTAAAT